TGTGTGCACACTTCATTGTTTCAGTAATTCAGAGCAGTTCATGGCCAAATAAGACGAAAAAGGCCCCAAGCTCACTCGCTGACTTGTTGCTGGATGCAGACATGACGGCTCATGGATTTATAGACATAAAAAGTCAGTTCAGTGTAGCTCAATTGGAGCAGGAGGTTATTCCACATGTTCTCTCTGTAACAGTGCATGTAATGTCCTCTGAAGCCAACATTGTGTTCATTTTGATAAAAAGGGACAATCGCTCAGCCCAGTTTGGCACCAAAGCTGAACATGAACTTGAACTAGCCTGTTATATAGTCACCCAAAGAAAGCTGGAAGCATAGAAGCTTCAAGGTATGAAGGTCTTTTCCTAAAAGTGCTTTCCTTGTCTGGAACTTTTTTGAATAAATTTAAATCTTAATCCACATTTTTCCAGAAAGAGGACATGATGTGAGTATTAAGGCTCATTTACAGTAACTTGGATTAGCCTGTTCTAAAAAGTACAGGTATGTCCCCTAATTTATTTTTATTTTTTTCTGAAAGAACTGGGTTAAACGCTGTTTGAATATTTGCAAATTTTTGTTAACATTCATCAAATGAAAGAAAAATCTCAAAATGGTCACAAAAATAACTTTAATCTAAAAAATAATAACAATAAAGGTTTGATCAAAGGAATCAAATCAAAGTCAGACATTGCTTTTCAAACATGCTTCAACAAAATGAAAAAAAAAATGAAAAAGGCAAGACAGCAATAATTGTACTCATAGACAAATGAAAAAGATTTGTGAATAATAATACTATTGATAACTGCTTCATGTGTAAACTAAGATAAATTTGGATCACATAGATTTATAGTTACAATATTATAGTAGCTATGGTAAACAGAAAATGCAGGAGAAGTGGTTACCTGAGATAGCAGCGTGCAGCTTTGCTTCCATAACTTCAGTTGAGTTTGCTTTTAAATCACATTTGTTTACTTTGCTTGTTTTTTTGTTGTTGTTTTTTTTTTTTGTGATATCCATTTGTGGGGAAAATTGTGCTCTATTAAAAAAAAAACCTATACGGTGTCAAACAGGCCTCGACTTTATTTTTTTAAGGGCCAATAATACAGAACCAAGCTCAAGAGCGAAAAATTACATTCTGAGGCCGCTAGCAAGACCAGAGACCAGAGACCGGTATTTAGGCCACAACTTGTCTCAATCTGAGTATATCTCTGCTGGTATCGATAAATAAATAACAAAAGGCAAAAGAATACTTGTCATATTATAGTTAAAAACACCATTTTGTTTTAAAGGTACACTATGCAACCGGTGTTGATTTTCCAGCGAGGCTCCCCCCAGAGGGCGAAAGTAAAATTGCACTGTCGTAAATATGCACAGCTGTTCTCCTGGTTTCTCCGTCAAGCCAGGCGCGGTTGTTTTGAGCTTAGCAGACAAGCGAACACAACGAATGACTAATGCTGCGTTCACACCGCAGCTGGCGCGACAGAAGCAGCGAGTTTACATGCAAAGTCAATGGTTGACGCGCGTCAAGGCGCAGCAAAAGGTCCCGCGGCGCGTTTTGAGCAGCAGGCCCAACGCGTCTGAGCAGCTGAAGCAGTGCGTCGGGCGCGTTTAATCATCTGACGCAGGGAGAGAGACACAGCGCTGATGATCAGAGGCTATGATCTCTCCTCTTAAACAGTTTATTGACGCCTAAATTAACTTAAAATGCAGAAATCTGCCGGCAGAATATGCAGTTTGGATTATTTAGATGAAAAACACCTACCAGCTGCCGCGGTGAACCGCGAGGAGGTGACCCGGCCAGAGGCTGCTGATGAAGGGATTCCTTCTGTCGGCACCGCTGGTATGTGGGGGTCTGAGCGGCTCCGACAGAAAAAATATTGAAGGCAGGATAATAATCTGAATGAACTGACGGCACTGATTACGTTTTCAGGTGTATTTTCTAATTTAAACACATATTAAAACTACTTTATTCCAAATGATCACAGCAAATATAGCTGCAAGGCAGAGAAAGGATAGTGAAGCTCCGCCCAATGCGCGTCAGACACACTTTTGCACCGCGCAGCCAGAGCAGCAAAGCTGCTTCAGCCGCGCGTCAGAACTAACTGGTACAAGCAGCAAAAATGAAGCAGCAGACGCGATTTTGCTGCTTTTGCTGCGTGAACGTAGCATAACTGCACAAAGATCGCCACTGTGCTAGCAACGAGCATGCTTTTAACTGGGGGCGTGTAGCAGTTCTCGCCGTAAAGCAAGACTGACTCTCACGAGACTTCTGAGCCTGTGGGTGCGGGTCGGTGCTCCTGCAATTGCAAGTGCAGTATTTCCCACACAGACCACCAGGGCGGCCGAGAATACCTTTGTTCAACCTGAAACGACTCATTTAATCATCCAAAACGATATGGAACACATTAATTAACTGAAAAATGTTGCATAGTGTGCCTTTAAAGGTCACATTTTAACTGTGACTGTAACTGTAAACATATCATTAAATAAATGACAACTGGTGACTCTTTAGTCACTTTTTGATTTTCTTTGAACCAGTAAATCAGAGACATACAATCATCTCCATGATTTATTTATTTTTATTTGCTGTAATTAGAGTCTATTTCCAGTTCTAAGCCTTCTTGAGTTTGGCTCCGTCTTATTTTTTCATGATAAACTAGCAGAAAATGAATAAAAGATTGCAGTGGAGGAATGGATAATTTTGAAAATAAGCTACTTATTTCAGGATTCTCACCCACCCAGGGGGGGATTTACCATTAGGCAATACTAGGCAGATGCCTAGGGCCCCAAGTTCCTGGGGGCCCCATAAAACTCTGTTTCCATGTATGGTTAATACAACTAATCCTTATTTGTGCACATTAATTATGTTTTTGATAAAAATCCTTTGGCTAAAATGCCATCAGAACGCTGATAAATAGAGGAAAAAGGGACGAGAGGGACAAAACCTAGAACAAATAATGGATGTCTATTCTATTAACATTTCTCTATCTGTAGAATGGGTCTGTTTTATGTGTTTTCTTCTCAGGGGGCCCCCTGCCTGTCTTTGCCTAGGGCCCCAAATTTCCTAAATCCGCCCCTGCACCCACCCATGTTACTCTAACCCTTTTAAAAATAGTTTTTCTGTTATCCTTGACTTTAATCAATCACATTTTGTAAGTACTTTTTTTCTAGCATAGAAGTTGCCACATTAACAGTTTCTAGACATTATATTTTTATACACTATAGAAATATCCTGTGTGTGTATATAAAAGAAGATATCTATCCATTTTTAACATTGTTTCTAAACTGTCAACAAAAAGAAGGATATTTGGTCAAAATGTCTTACTTTATATCAAATCAGATTGCTTGTTTACAGACCGATCTAATATCAACAGTAATATAATTACTCCGAGGTTAAAGAGACGTGGCCTTCAAAGTTATCGTAGATGGACACAAAAACAGGCTTCGGGAAAGAGCACAGTAAAGCATTAGTTTTAGTTCAGTTATCCAAAGTCATGTTTTCAAGTCACAATTTGATTGATTTTTTTCATCAGTTTTACACAAATCTTACAACAGATTATATGCATTTGTATTCTATTCTAGGTAGCAGAGATCATCACAGCTTATAACCTCCACTGAACTGGGGCTGCAGGATGAGATGAGAGAAATGGCTTCTCTCTTCTGATGTCTGTGTGTTTCTTAAAGAACTGTGGACTTTTTCTGTCTGATGCTCAATAACAAACTTCCTGTTGTCTATCAACAATCTCATATGTGAAGTTGAACATAGGCAGATGGGGAGAAGCTCACCAAAACATTCGGCCTTCAAAATAAAGTCAATTAGTTAACACACAACTATCCGTTGCCTTTACAGTAACAATTGTTGTAGGGATTTCGATGGTTATTACCAGCAGTCATTGGACGAGAGGAGCGGTAAACGTTAACAGGCACAAAACAACTTACATTAGAGACATGCAGGACAAACAACATGCACACACATCCATATGCAGGTTTGTAGAGGGGACTGTTATGGTGTGGGCCTGGTTTCAATATTAATCCCTATTAATGTCTATTAATGTTATTAATGACAGACAGACAGACAGACAGACAGACAGACAGACAGACAGACAGACAGACAGACAGACAGACAGACTCTTTATGCTTTGGTTAATCTATTTCTGAAGTCATCTAGGAATAACATCCAACTTGACTTAATGGAATTCCAGTTTTGAGATTATTGTTTAATTGTGTTTTCTAATGCATATTTTGAAAAGAATTCTATGTCGTATTGGGTCAACTTAGGAATGTTACATATTTTTGACTTAATTTAAGTTAAAATTACCATTTTCTATCAAATATGAATTAGAACAGAAGAAAAACGGATAAATTCAGCTGTAAAAATGTGAATCTTTCTTTTTATTTCTTTTGAAAAAAAAAAATGTTTAGCAGATGAAAACTGGGGTCCTGAATAACTTTATTGTATTTTTTTAAATAATTAGTGAAACAAAATTTGTAAAGAAAAAAAAAAAGAATAAATCCAAAGGACCTATTAGTAACCATGTCTGTTCCAGCGCATATCATCATTTGAACTTCTTTGAGTGTTATGTCTTAAGTACAGGGGCCATAACAGGGGCCAGGATATGATCTACAGGGACACTTGCCCCCATTAGCCCCTGTCTAGAACCGCCCATGCATTTTATTGTTTTACTTTTATACTTCTCTAAACCCTCAGCTGCTAGTTGCCAGTGCACCGCCCAGCAACCAATCTAATCCTTTTTTATTTTCTTTGTTTATTTGACAACGCAGGCATGCCAGTGAGTCAAGAAACACAAGTTCTTAAGAAACGCTTATTTCAAAATGTTTGTGATTAATAACATCAATTCAAAACAGCACAACTTGTCTACAATTTCATCATCTAATACCAAGATTTTAATGTTTTCCCCACAAGTGGGAAATCTAACTTTTGAGGTGCTTTTATTTTGAAATGAGACCAGCGGAAGTCGTTACCTGGGATTTTAAGGGTAACTGACTGAACTTGATTGAACATGTCACATTCCCACTGATTCCTCGTACTGAAGCGGTGCTGCTCTGACCCATTTTAGGAGTTGGTTCCGGCTTTCTGTTCCGTTTATCACTCAGAAACAAAGTGAAAACCTTCCGAGGGGAGACCAGGAGCGGACCGGGTCTACCTGCCGTCCTCTCGCCTCGCTTCGTTCGCTGTCTGAGGCTCAGCGGATCATCCAGAGACACAGAAGCTGCTTCATTTAGAAACCACTCGTTCTCTGGAGACCGCAGGGACAGATTTCCCCTGAGCTGAAAGCCTCTCTGCTGTTGGACTGACGCCACGGCTCCTCGGAGTAACTATCAGGGTGAGAGCTAGCCTCCGTTGGGTCGGTGTTTTCCCGGGTGAAGCCCCGGGGATCTCCAGCGGCATCGGCAGCGGCGGCCATGGCTGCAGGACGGACAGCTGTCGGGCTGCTCTTCCTGGCGTGTTGGAGCTTCCACCGCGGAGCCTCCTTCAACCTGGATGTGGATAAACCCTTCGTGTACTCCGGACCAGAAAGAAGCTACTTTGGCTTTTCAGTGGACTTCTTTAAATCCCCCACTAACCTAAAGTAAGAGTTTATGCTCTCCTATTTAATAACCCAGCTACTCTATAGAGACATGTTCACAATAATTGGTAGAAAAGTGCTAACTAGCCTTACTAGTCATTGTCTGAATTCAACAAGCTCCCTCTTTAGCATGAAAGGATGTTTTCCTCTTTAAAACACCTGGAATAAATGATTATAACCAGCGTTGCCCCGATGCCTTTTTTTTGGCCCCGGTACGGATACCAATACCTGACTGTGCAGGATCGGCCGATACCATCTGTTATAATACATTAATGCACTGATATTTATATTTATAAAAAACATAAAATTATACAAAAATGATGAATAACAGTTATTTCTGATGCCAAAATCGATATCTTATGCATCCCTAGAATGTACAATTTCAATTCCATCCAGAAAAATATCAATATGCTACATTTTAAATATAGCTTAGAATATTTTTTTCATGTAAACTTGGAGATATATTTTATTCCATATCCCAGTAAACCTGTTTCACCTTTAAATCTGCAGCTCTCCCCGCTTCTCTCTGTGCTGTTTAAAAAGATTTATAAACCTCTTTACTAATATAATGATGCCAGAAACAAAAATTCCAAATATGTTGAAGCTCTACAGTCTGACTCTATCTGATCAATAAGAAAACATGTTAATTTTTACCTGTAACTGGGAGTCATGGTCCTCTGAGAAAACAAAGCTTTTTTTAACTAGTAAAGAAGAACAAACTATGTTCTTCTCAAGCTTCCTGCATTATAATACTAATTTGTATAAACTTACAATCTGTTGCCAATTAGCTGCAATTTAGCCAAACAAAAATAATTATCAGCAGCGGCACTTGTACAAAAAAATCTGAAACTGAAAAGTGCACAGAATTATTCAATCACACCATGTTCAGCAATTTTAATTCATGCATTTGCAATGCATTTTAACTAAAGGGGTCGCCTTTTATAGCTGATTTTTGTGTCTCTGCTTCTGTCTCCTTGAACCCCAGTCGGCCTCGGCAGATGGCCGCTCACACTGAGCCTGGTTCTGCTGGAGGTTTCTTCCTGTTAAAAGGGAGTTTTTCCTCCCCACTGTCGCTGCAAGCATGCTTAGTGTGAGGGATTGCCTTCGAGTCAATGAGTCGATGCAATCAACTGGTTTTCCTTACATAGAAAACTTTGAATCAATTTGACTGTATGATCTGGTGAACTATAAAGTGCCTTGAGATGACGTGTTGTGAATTGGCGCTATAGAAATAAACTGAATTGAATAGATTTTTCCTCTATTCTGCACTCTAGACGAATGATTGTTTAGGTACCACTGGTGGTAGCGCAGTATCGATACTTTTAAAAATGAGTAACGTCTCCAGATACAATGTTTTAGTATCAATACTTTTTTTAGTATCGATACTTTAATGAAAGAATTGGAAATTCATCAAATATCAATAGCTACGTTTACATGCGCAAAATTTCCCCGATCCGATCCAAACCTTGGTTGATCGGAAATTCAAAATCTCCGTTTACATGGACACTAAATGAAATGATCCGATCATGACGTGTGTATACATGTACCAAGCGTTGGATCAGATTAAATCTTTTAAGCATGCGCAGAACTTCCTGCCAAACTTGGCAGTTCTCTCTGCGTCTGGTTTTTGGGAGGCCTGACAAACGATGCGCTCGGAGCGAGCGGAAAGAAAAAAGGAGAGAGGAGGAAAAAAGCGCTTGGCAGCGAAATGTACGAGAGAAAATGTAGAGAATGAGCGATTGAACCGGCGTGGGAGAGCGAGTGGGCTGTGGAGAGAGAAAAGAGGAAGAGGAGGAGGATAAATTCCTGCTTCCTGCAGCTTTAAATGAACTTGAGTGTATAAGTCGGCGTTCCTAGACTCCCCCCGCCATGTTGTTCACAGCGAGAGCGAGAGCGACCGGTGGTTTCCTGTTGTTGACAAGGCGGAAAAACGTCACGCTGACGTCGCACACATGCGCAGTGAAGATTATTTTACTCTTAAGATCCGAATGGGTGTTTACATGGACGCCAATGGGAATGGCGATCGGCAAAAACCACCTCTCTCATTCGGAATTATATTTAGATCCGATCGGACCGAATCGGATTAGAATCTTCAGTCTGACATGTTTACATGAAACATTTTTGATCTGATCAGGCCTTCAATCCGATTAGTTGTGTCCATGTAAACGTAGCTAGTGTTGGGTCTCACCCTTTCCTCAACACACAACCCTGCTAGACTTTCAAAATAAGATTCCAGGGACTCTACAAAATAAAATTAGATGTCTCAAAGCGAGAGATCCAATGATGTTTTACTGAGAGGTGGGACACAGGAGCAGCGCGAGAGAGGAAAATAAAAACAGACTGAAAACGTTCTGAGCACAGTTCATCCAACCTCTGTTACCTTTGGCTAAATGAAATAAAGGGGAAAAAAGGGGAGTTTATTGTGGCGGACATGTCCTCACTAGTCCTTCAAAAAGTTACGCCTGTGAATCCAGTAGAATTTGAATGGGTGACAATAGTTGAATAAACTTCTGGCCCTCAAAATGGTATCTGTGCCCTATTTGTTGGCACTCGCCGATACCCATACCAACATTTTAGTGCTGGATCGGGGCCCCATCCGATACTGGTATCTGTATCGGTGCAACACTAATTATAACTCTTATATTCATCACAGGTTTAGGCTGTAAAGTTCAGTAGGATTTTACATTTGGGTTAAGATTTAGAAAAAGGCTCCACCAGCCAAGATCGTTTATTTACTGAATCCTGCAGATAATCAGTCAGTAGGAAACTGGGCCAGTCTATTTAATCTGTATTATTTGTGCCTTTGAGCTCAGACTAGGAGTCTGACAGACAGTTTTATTCTCAGTTATTCTCTCCCTCTATTGTTTCTCCAGGTTGTTATTAACAGTTTTACTCCAGTCAGCTGTTTGGCAGATCAGAGGGTGTAGGAATGTCTTTCTGCTGTGGAGAATCTTTGTTGCTTTAGCTTCACTGTCTTTTTAACATAAAGGGATTCCTTTTGACTTCTGGTTACATTTTAATGTGATCATATTGTTAAGGAAAAACAAAAAGTAGGGTTATTTTGGACAGCTAACTTGCAAAATTATTTGTTTCAGAACTCTGTTAAAAAATAAATATAAAAATGTCGTCTCAGTAGCAACACAGTTGTATTTCTGTATAAATATAAAAAGTTAACAAAATCTGAGCTGTCTGATGTTCAGATAAAAAAAAATTATAATAAAAATACCCAAAGGAATCAAAGATTGTATGAACCTGTGTGGTTCCACTCTGTTTGCATTCCCTTTATTAAGTTCTATTTAATCTGACGTCCATACCTTAATATGATGCAGCCGAACAATTATATAATAGTTGGAAAAATAAAAACTAAAAACCACTTTCACATCTTACAGGAAAACCCTCCTTGAGTTTAAAAGTGTGCAGTCCTACTAACTAACTAAATTATATTTCATATAGATTAACTGTGTGAAAAACATGGGTTCTTTTTTCCTCGCTTTACTGATTTTCCTTTTTTTTAGGAACATGATGATAGAATATAATTGTACTTATTTTTGGGGTCTATTGTTGACTTATTGGTAGAAATGCATACTAAAGGAGCACCAGCAATAGATTTGATTTAAAGGTGGATTTCCATTAATCCCTTTATCCCCTTTTCCCCTTTTCTACACCAGTAACTCCTTCTGGTTCCACCCATAGTTTTTCTGAAGGATAACCGCTTTCACGCTGGTGTATAATTTTTTGTTTGTCATGCTTTGTTTTTGCTAATTTCTTTAGTAAATAAAGCCCTTTCTGCAATGGGGTAAACAAGGAAGTAGCCTACTGGGACTAAGCTAGTAAGCATCTTCAAGTAAAGTGTGAAAATAATGATGTTCAAGATGCAGTGTGAAAAAAAAAGATGATAAAGACTTGAACTACACTGAGAATCCAGTATGAGGGTTAATGTTTACTGAAGCTGAAGCTGCCGAGGCGGCTAAATTGATGGAAATTGCTCGGATCACTCTTAACATTTTTACAGATATTACATCAAGGCTGAGTAACAATGAAACTAACAACTTTCAGGTGCTTTTGAAATAATTACATGTTTAAAGAATTTAATTAAAGAATATTTGATTCGGCTCCTTACAAGCAGCCATAATATTTTTGTCTGTTTATTCTTCCTTTGTATTTTTTTTTACCTTAGTTTTTTCTTCGCAACTATTTATTTCTGTCTGCCCAGAAATGTAAAAAGGGCAGACAGAAATAAATAGCGGCGAAGAAAAAACTAAGGTAAAAAACTACAAAGGAAGAATAAACAGACAAAAATATTATAACACGCACATAAATAAATACTTAAAAATATAAGTAGTTAAAAAATAAAGTTGAAGATTATAAAGGACAAAAAAATAAATAAATTAAATATTACGAAGGAAAATAAATAAAGAAGCTAATTAAAAGAGTTATATACATTTATGTCTCACTGGATAATTTAATTTCTACTTGCATTTATTTGTTTATTGTATTTTTGGTGGCAATTAATTTTATGCTTATTTATTTATTGAGCATTTATTTATTTCTGTATTTATTTTTAAATGTGGCAGAGTTGGTCCTCCATATAGAACAAGCCAAGCTACTTTATTTAGTGCAGCCTGTAATTTGTTCAGGTTATTTTCTGTAGTTGTTGCCCAAATTATGGAGCAGTAGTCAAGATAAAACTATTGATTCCACCAAAGTTTTACATAGATACACTTCTTTATAACTAAATATTTGCTTTACTTTGTACTTAATACCTGGGGTTGGTCAGTCCTCTAACATCCAAACATAGGAATTAAAGTTTGAGGTTGAAATGTGAAGAAAAGTGGAAAAAAAAATAAGATTTCTGCCTTTTTCTTCAAGAGATTTTCTACATTATGATTCAAAGCAGCGTACTTGGAATATTTACGGCTTTACAGAGAAATGAAGTATTACTAGAGGACTGTGTTTCCACTAAATGAGGGTGAGGCCAGCGGATCATCGCTCTGAATATCGCT